CGATGGAATACTATGTAGCCATAAAAAAGAACAAAATCATGAATTTTGCAGCAACCTGGAGAGAACTGGAGTCTATAATACTGAGTGATCTCTCATAGAAACAAAGATCTGAGTATCACATGTTCTCACTCATATAGTGGACCTTGAAAATCTACCATAATATTATAAAAAAAGGACTGACAGTGGTGGGAAACTATGGGGGGGCAGGGAGGGGAAGGGAGGTGTGACTAACGGTAGTCAATATCTGTCTGGGGATGGGGAGACACCTCTTATTAACAAGGGTGCCTGAATGATGCACATTTGTATACCTAACCCTTAACTGTACCCCATAATTTTATAATAAGAATATGTTTAAATTAAAAAAAAAGAAATCTGAACTTTGAGATTGCTGCGGCAAGCTCAAAAGCATATAAGAATCATGTTCTTGAAAACTGGAAGAAGAGGATCCTTGTTCTGTAGTAGCAGAATACTTAGCAAACTTGTCATCTCCAGTTAAATAGAAAGAATTGTATATAGCTGAAGAGCTTGGTTATCTAAAGAGATTTCCAAGAAAAGTGTTGCAGTTATCTCTTGGTCTCTTCTTGCAACTTATAGTAAAATGTGAGAAGAGAGATATAAATTGAGAGAAGAATATTATAAAAGCACACTTTATCTTTGTCTCCCACTGGCTCTGAAAGCTTTTTTCAGTGGGGGAAATTCTCCCCTGCCATGGATGGAAACTTGCCCAGATCCTCTGAATTTCCAGATCATTCCTGGGGAGCACTTGTGATCACTGTAAGTCTCAGCGTCATAAATGTCAGCATGTCCAGTCCAAGATATGCATCAAAAGACTTCATCAATATAAGGTTTCTACTCACCTTTCTCATCTTCATCTATCTTCAGGGAAGACTGTTGGTATCCTGTTATCACTATCTATCTATACTCAAACCCTCCTCCACTTTCTGGTTGTCATCTTGAGCCAATTCTTTCTCCCCAGAGCCCACCTATGTGATGTGATCAGGCTGTAGGAAAGAGGCCAGGTAACCTGTGACTCTTACTCAGCTAGTAGCTTCTAGTCTGGCAAATATGAGTTGGGCATTCTTGGGCACTTCTTGGAGTCCTTAGGAGATTCCTGCTGCCTTGGAGGCTCCACTCTCTCCTGCAGTCCCCTTGGCTCAGGCAAATACATCTCCTTGCCAGGGGCGGGCCCTGGAACTGTCTCCCTCCATCCCTGGAAACCCAGAGGTAGAGTTAGGTGGATTCTGCATGCTGTTAATTAAGCTTAATCCTCAAGGCCCCTCACTTGCACAGAACATTAAAATGTATTCAGTGACTTGACAACTCTTGACAGTCTAGTACATTCTGTTTTCATTGCATTATCAATAGAGTGAGCTCCATGAGTAGTTAACTCTCCATAACTTGGGTTTGTCCCATCACTTTGCATCTTGACATTAAACTGATGATAGGTTTTCTATGCTTATGGTTGTTTCAAAGAACAAGTGCCTAGGTTTATTTTTCAGTATGACTGTTTTTCTGATTCACTTATTTCTGATTTTTTTAAATCTTCCTTAATTCTACCCTTCTGCTTTGTTTAGGTGTTTTGTTGATTTATTTTAATTTCTTGAATAGAATACTCTATTTTTATCATTATTTCTTGTTTCATAACAAAAGTGTTTCTGGAATTTATTTATGAAAGTTTTCTTTGTGGATTAAAATGTGATTCATTTTTTTTGACTGTTACATGGATGTCTGAATAAAAGTACAGAGATTTTGACATAAATGAATAATGTGGCTGATCTGTCTTTTGTAAAATAGATGTCCTATTAATCATCATTATTTTGACTTTTTATTTTGAGGAAATTCACAACTACAAAAAAATTACAAGAATAGCATCAATGAACTGCCATATACTCTTCACCAGCCACTCAAACTTTGCCATCTGCTTGCTTATGTGTGTGTGTGTGTATGCATGTATGTGTGTGCTTGTGTGTGTGCATGCAGATGTGTGTGCATGTCTGAATGTGTATATGTGTGGAAGTGTGTGAATGTGTATATATGTGTGTGAGTGTATATATATGTGTGAGTGTATATGTGTGTGAGTGTATGTAAACCATCTGAGATTGAGTTACAGATATAATGACCTTTTGCCCCTAAATTCTTAACAATGTGTCTCCTAAGAACAAGAACTGTCTCTGTAAACCACATAGCAAATATTTAATTCAGGAAATTGAATATCGATACAATACTGTTACATAATTCCAAATTTATCTAATGTTATCTTTATTCACATTTATCAGTTTTCCAAACTGTCTTCTCCAAAGCAATGTTTTTTTCATTCCAAGATCCAATCCAGGATTCTTATTTTTTGTTCTCCTTAATCTATATGATTGAGAGAGATTTGGTAGATCCCTTTTATATCACTGTGTCTTGTACATTTCCCTTTGTGTTTTTTGCTTGCTATGTATAATTGGATGCTACAACAGTATATATGCATTGGGACACTGTGCTTGGTAATAAGAAATTATCCACCAAAAAGCATGTCCCTCTGCCATAAGAATCCCCTTGGGGATGAGGCCAGCTCTGCTGCTGACTCCTCCTAGGGTTACCTGATGAGTAAACAGATTTGGAGGGCATGCCCTTGAGTACCTGGGGGTGGTGATCATATGCACACTTCCCCTAGAAGATTCTATTTGAAAATCCCCAGATCTAGGGCTCAATTTCTGGAGTAAAAATGGTTTCTGAGGATAAACTCTTATTGAGATATTTCTTGCCCAACTAGGATAAAAGAGATAATTTGAAAAGGATAAAAAACAAAATTAAAACAAGATAAACTAAACAAAAACAAATGAACCTAATTGAACACCAAATGAAAAACATAGCCACACTGGAAAGAAGAAAACATTGTAATAAAAAAAAAACCTAGCCCAAGTAACTTTGAATGAGTACTCTATTTACGCTCAGTCTAAAACCAAAAGTAATTAAATAAATATTGGACAATAATTAGCATGTGCATTTATCTCAGTAGTATGTAGGCATGCATTTGTAATACTGAAGTTTTTTCTGCATTATTCAGGAATAATAAAATGAAAAAAAATAATAAGAGACACATTTTCCACCATCAAAGAAGGGAAATAGAAATAGTGAACTCTATGGTGTCAGAATGAACTAGGAGGTTTCTAGATGAACTCATGGTTTTTAACATAGATAGGTGGATACACAGATAGAAAGAAAGAAGGAAAGAAAAGATAGAAAGAAAAAACAAATTTCATAGTTCAAAAAAGGTCTAGAAACCATAAGCACATTTTCTGCCCAGATTTTGGTTTCTAAATACCATTCTGCACTGAAAGGAGCCAGCATTCCTTATTTTAAAAAATGGTTGAATTCAGGGAAAGTACTAGATGAATCTGAAATACCTCTTTGTGCCAGAACACATTTTAAAAGTGCTCAAAAAGAGCAGTGTGAAGAAGAAGAGGCAAGAACAACCCCTGGGCTGACCAAAGCCCATGCGCCCCTCCATCCCCACGTCCAACACCTTAGTTCTGCTGCCATCACCACCATGGCCAAGAGAAAGGCTGAAGGAGATGCTAAAGGAGATAAAACCAAGGTGAGGACGAACCCCAGAGAAGATCTGGAAGGTTGTCTGCTAAACCTGCTCCTCCAAAGCCAGAGCCCAAGCCTAAGAAGGCCCCAGCTAATAAGGGAGTGAAGGTACCCAAAGGGAAAAAGGGAAAAGCCAATGCTGGCAAGGAGGGGAATAACCCTGCAGAAAATGGAGATGCCAAAACAGACCAGGTACATAAAGCTGAAGGTACTGGAGATGCCAAGTGAAGTGTGTGCATTTTTGATAACTGTTTACTTCTGGTGACTGTACAGTTTGAAATACTATTTTTTATCAAGTTTTATAAAAATGCAGAATTTTGTTTTTGTTTTTTTTTTAAGCTATGTTGTTAGTACACAGAACACTTCATTGTTGTTTTTTGGGAAAGGGGCATATGTCACTAATAGAATGTCTCCAAAGCTGAATTGATGTGGGGAAAACACCTTTCCCTTCTAGTTTTAAGAGACTTCCTCTTGGCTTCCAGGAGGAGGGATTCCCCGACGTTGACACACATAGCCACCTTGGTACAATCACCTTGAGATGTGGAAAAACATTCATTTTTTATGCCCTCTTCTCCCTTTATGCCTTCAGCATAGACTTAACTCCCTTAAACTCAGACATCTGTTGGGACCTGACCCCCAATAATTGGTTACCAATATGTCAGTGATGCCACTGAGATGGCACCCCTCATAGGAATGCGGTTTTCATTTATAGATTGTGGATCTTCAGACAAATTCTGCTATTTTCATTATTTCCCGAAAGTCAGGGTCGGCTTCTGAAAAGTTGTCAAACAACATGCTAAATGTGAAATGTCAACCCTCACTCTAAACTTCTTCCCTGTTCAGAGCATCAAATGAAGACTTCATTGGGTTTTTATAGTGGCTTTCTGATTTTGGTAGTCCATTAAAGAAGGGAGTTTGAAAGTTGTTGTATACTGTTAAAGATAATCTGCCCATGTCCTGCCTGAAATACCATGATTGTTTATGAAAAGTATCTTTAATAAAGCTGGATACAGTTTGGTTTGGAAATAAAATAAAATAAAATAAAAGTGCTCAAAAAATAATAGAATGGCCCAAAAGAACACTGTTGCTGGTTTAAAGGAGCACCCTCATATGTATATATATTGATTACATGCTAAAATGACACCCCTTTGGATGTAGATGATTAAAAATATATATATTATTAAATTTTTAAAAAATAAAAATATGGCCAGACCTGGTGGCTTAAGCCTATAATCCCAGCACTTTGGGAGGTAAGAGGACTGCCTGAGCTCAGGGGGTCAAGACCAGCCTGAGCAACATGGCAAGACCTAGTCTCTACAACAACAACAAAAAATTAGCCAGGTGTGGTAGTGCGTATCTGTAGTTCCAGCTACTTGGAAGGCTGAGGTGGAAGAATTGCCTGAGCCCAGCAGGTCAAGGCTGTGGTGGTTGTGAATGTACCACTGCACTCCAGCCTGGGCGACAGAGTAAGACTCTAAACTCAAAACAAATAAATAAAAATAAATAAAACAAAGGACACCCTCCGGGAAAATGCAGGACAACCTGAGCCTTCTTCCTGAACACTATGAATTGGGCAACTCAGTCCACAGTCCTTACCTTTGGGAGATTTCTCTGGAGAAGAAAAACCCAACATTACCTTCTCAGTTCTTAGAACTTAGGTCAGCTAACTAAAGGACCTTTCTTAGAGATTTTTGTTACTCTAACAGTTTCAGATTATTTAATTGACTCTACCCTTTCTCAAAATATAAATAACTAATATCAGTATGGGCTTATGGGTTCTTATTTTATCAGAAGGTACTTGTATACCTAATCTTGAATTGTACCCCACATTATGTAAAATAAAATTTATAAACAAATAAATAAAACCTATATATTAAAAAAAAAGAATTCCACCTCAGCCAGGAATTCAGTTTCACTGTCGATAGTCCACTATTAGATAATCAGAGTGGTTTCTACTCTAAAGTCTAGGTATTTTGCTTTAAATTATTTAGGGGGAAAAACAGCAACAGCACTTGTAATTTATTTTAAGAATATAATTGAAAAAGATACACTAATATACGTACAAAATAACGCCTGCAACATTGATTATGAAAGTGGAAAATTTGAAACCAACTAAATATCTGTCAGTAGGAGACTAGTAAAATAAATGATAAAGCATCTTTTTAAATGCCAGATCTATATTTACTGACACGGAAAGCTGTCCTAGCAATCTAGTCAAATGGAAAAATGGCTTACAGAGCAGTGGATTCTGAATAACCCCAATTATTTTATTTGTACATATTTACTTATGCATTTAAAAATCAGGAAATATATGTATCAAACTGCTAACAGTTGTCATCTCTGTAGGGTAGAATGATAGTTGTACTTTCACCTTTTACTTTATACATCTGCACAATTTAAATTACTTATAACATGCATTTAATTTTAATTTAATTAGCAGAAAAATTAAGCGACTTCCACTTTGAAAAAAAATAGTAGGGAATCTTAGTGGTGAATATTATTTTCTCTTTTAGTCACTAAAATTACAAGCCAACATTTTTCTTCTCCATCTTCAATTTTTCATACCATCTCATCAAACAATACTAAATTGAGCGCATTTTAAGTAAAGAAAATTTGGGTTCCTCATCAATGATTGACAAGTCCCTGAAATATATAAAATGCATGCAACTACAGGACATGCAATAATTTGAACACAAAGTAAAAGACCAGAATATATATTTCTAGAACAATACGGTGGTAATCGCAAGCCAAAGCAAAATCATTTGTGTACTACAAGTGTATTACTTGCTCATCAGCTTCTGATTCATTGACTTTTGAAATTTGCTTATTCCTTCTGTTAAAACATCGCTAAAACCATCAGTCAGTTCATCTTTAAGAAAATGCATACTGGCTGTTGTGTCATATTGATTTCTCAATGTATCATTATGGTTAAGTTATTCTCCACCAAACAATGCTAATACTCTGAAATAATAATAGATTTCAGCCTTGATACAGTATTAGCTTCCAACACGTGGCTGTCTTTGTATGTTAAGAATTAAGGCAACCTGCCAGGAGCCTCCCATTGGTTCACCTCCCAAGTTCTCACACACAGGCTGTGTGCTTTCCAATAAGACATATTTCATCCCAATAATTTTGCAGAGTAATCATGTTTTGGAAATGCTAAATTAAAAACTAAATGGTCTTTATGTGTACAGATGGAGACTCTGGCTGCCATAAGCAACAGCAACTCAAGATCCAGACAAGTAGAAGCTCTCCTCCAGGAAGCTCTGGTAATGTAATGCTGAAGAAATAATTCATTAAGAGTCATGATATAAATCACTTCTCCTAGAAAATCTCAGCTGTCCTCACTTCTTCTGTGAAGAGGAGCTATACTTGACTCCACGAAGATGGTGGTATCCTTTCTTGGGGGACACAATCCCCTGTTGAACCGTCATATCTATGTGTTGTCCTTGACTGTTCAATTTGACATTCAGCCAGACTGTAAAATAACAATAGCACCAGGGCACCATCTGTTCCACCCAGGTGCTTGTGTTCTGTGGCTCTGCTCAGCTGGTTGGGTGCAGTGGGGGCGGGAAGATCCATCTCTTAGCTTCTGTTTGGTTTCCATCGTCTAAAGTGCCTTCTAAGTGGCTTTAGAGCATGGTTTTGTGCCTGGTACTCTTGTGTCATTATGTTCCACTTTGGAATATGGCAAGTTGCCTATATGTGTTTGTGTCTGGAACACCTGCAGCATATTCACCTGAATTAACAGGCTGGTTGAGTTTAGACCTGGTAAGGGTTGTATCTGCACTTGACAAAAGGATCTCTGTGCCCAAGAAGTCAGAGGCTTGTCCAAAGCACACCTTTCCTACAGTTTGTGGTGCTCTCCGTAGGAGCCACTGCAGTAACAAGCAGAAAGGAGAGCGTCATAGTCTATTTTGTGCTACTACAGTTCCACAGACTGGTGAACAGAAATTCATTTTCTCATGGTTCTAGAGGCTGGGAATCCCAAGATCAAAGCACTGGCATCTGGCAAGGACCTTCCTGCTGCATCACAGCATGAATAAAGACAAGACGGCAAGAGGAGAGAAAACCTACTCCCAAATCCCCTTTTTAAAGGTATTAAACCCATCTTGAGGGTGGAGTCTTGTGGCCCCATCACCTCTTAAAGACCTTCCTCCCAATACCATTACACTGGAAATTAGATGTCAGCATGAGTTTTAGAAGATACATGCATCAACCCACCGCACAGAGGGAATGTCTGGCCAACCCTAGACATAAGCTGAAAGCCAACAGATCTCTAAGGTTTTCAGGCTGGCTGGACTTCTCCTGGATTTCATGAAAGAAACTCATCTGGTCCAGCAGATGGACTGCAGCAAGATGGTGTACATTTCATAAAATATGCATGGATCCTCATTTTAAAATGGCAAAGATAGGCACTTCAGGGATTATGTAGCTATTAAAGAAAGCAAGTCTGGGTGCCACACGTAATGTTCCAGACAGAAAAGATTTTGAAATCAGAGTTTAAAGGACATGAAAATAAACATCTTGATTTATCAGGCAAGTAGAGTCTGAAGCAACCACCAACAGGCTCGACATTTTCTTGACTGCTCAGGTTTTAGCATAAAAATTCACATGGATTTTGCTCTCTTCTCCACAGTATATCTGTATTATTCACATCAAAAAGTCACATTCCCAACATCTTGGCATAAGGGAAAAGAGGGACACTCTTGCTTCTTTTACTGTGTTACTGAAAAGATGCTCAATGTACGCATGTCTTTGGATTCTGGAAGCGGCCTCTGGTGAAGAGGGTGGCCCCTGCCATTCAGAGCTAGCAACAGGCAACTTCCCTTCTCTGTCTGGGGAACCCACACTTACAAATCCTGCATTAAAATAACCCTCCAGGAAAATGCACGTGCACACACGTACACACACACACACACCACCATACTGCTCACCTCAAATGAGGTACTGGAAAGCCTGGCAATAAATAAATCTAGAGAGCAGTAGCCAAGTGAGGGACAAGTGAACTCAAGGCAAACAGACCGTATTAATCTCAGGTCACACATGATAATGGAATCCCCATCGTCCTCCCCACTGGTATTGTCACTTCCACTACCCCTTGGCATTTTTTACAGGTGCCTCCTATCCAGTCTGTGTATTTCTCTCCCTCGGGTTCTTCACTGTTCTCTGCAGTGCGTATCAAGTGTGGGGCCCTCTTTCCAGCTCTGTTTTATGCATTCAGCCCTGTTCTTGACCCATTTCCCATGCTCCAGAGGACCCCACCGCTGGAAATTTCTGCCCTCACCTGAGCTTAAGCATGGTGAACACTTTACCCACCACCACCTTTGAGATGCTATTACTTTCAGGAGAAACCAAAGAAATGACTTTGAAAGGGCAGTGGAATTTCTTAGGATAAAAGCATGGTAAGATGGGCTGTTGCAGGGTAAGAGCCAGGAGGTACAGAAAGTGGGTAGCAACAGCCTTCCTCTCCTGCAAATGCACCCTTTCCACTGTCTGTGGTTCATAAATGTTGGTTCAGGCAATAAAGAG